CAATTTGTAGGTAACGTTCCGATTCGAGCGATTGGCGGACCGACGATAATTCGGAATGCATTAACCTCTTAACCGGATGATTTAATCGAATTCCATTCAACTAAACGCGGATACTAAAACTCCGACATGATTAATTCCGCAATAAATACAATCGTGATGTAACACGATGCTACGAATAACGTGAAATCTACGATTGAACGAACAGGAAATGTCGATAGAAACGGGAAACATTGAAAATAACCACAGAACACGTGCCAATTGGTCCCTGCCGTGTAACGAGCAACGAAGTTCGGCTTGTAGCGTGTAATTAGAGGAAAGCAACGTATCATATTCGGTGCTGGATTGATTTATTGCATAGTACGCTGAGACAGGCCGCTGAATGAAACGTTTACGTTCGACGTGTAACGCGAGCAAGTTACTATTTGCCCTAGCACGAGAACAGAAAGTTCGTTATGTGTACACAGAGGAGTTCGCGAAATAGAAATTTACGCGAGGAGAATGGAAACGCGAGTGACTTTTGCTTTATTTCGAGCTCGAAATCCGGCGATGGCCGCACGCGAGTCAATGGCAGAAACGCGGGCAGCGTTCTCGCAGCGGAAGCGGGCTCGAAACAGGAAGAGAGGCGATTGATAGCGAGCGGCGCATCGAAGGAACAACGCGACGACACAGTAATGTGAGATTCCGTCCATTCTATGCCGGATGAAAAGTCGCGTAACCGATCTCGTGTTTCAATCTCTAGCCTAAGCGGCGGTCGTCTCGTTTCTCCGACGACCGTTGACGACTCCATTACAAGAAATCTAGCGAAACGAACACAAAGGACTACCGACGCTGCATTCAAGTCGACAAGAAAGTTGTCGACGACGCGCGAAGAGAATTCAGATAAGATTCAGAGAGATCGAGAAGTCCGTAGAGGTTTGGAAAGAGCTCTGGAAAGTCAGAAATGTGTAAAATAAAAGCTCAAAGGGCTGAAGACAGAGGTCTAAAAAGTATCGACAGTAGTTCCAACAAGTGCTAAAGGGTTTGTATCCAGTGATTCAATAATGGATGTACGAATGAATCGGCAAAGCTTCTGAAAGGATCTGAATAAGTATAATAGAGGTGTAAAAAGGGATCCAACTGAATCTAATAGAGCTGAGAAGAGAGACTAAACAAGTCCAATATGGAGTGAACGTGAATCCAATGGAGGCTCCAAGAAGAACTAAATAGGTCTGATATGAGATCGGAATATAGAGAATCAAACAGGTGCTAATAGAATCTAATTGAATCCAGTGGAGAGTCTAAAAAGAAGATCTAAATAAGTCTGATGTAGGATCGAAATACAGGGTATCAAACAGGTTCTGATAGAATCCAACGGAATCCAAGTTTAAAAAGGAGAACTAAGTAAGTCCAATACGAAGTAGAAATATAAAAAGTCAAACAGATTCCAATAGGTCCCCAAGTGAATTCAAAAGAGTGCCCAACAAAAGAGACCAAATAAGTGCAATATGAAAACAAAGAATAGGGAGTCAAACAAAGAATTCAAAAAGAGGATTCCTCAAATAGGTCCAACATGGACCAAAGAATAGGAAATAAGAAGATCCTAATAATATGCATACGAGCCCAACAGGAATCTGGTCCCACAAACCAGATCCACGAAAAGAGGCCCAGAGACACTGATCCCGAAAAGTCACCGGCAAATCGACGCCAGCATTCATCTCGGAGAGAAATTTCGATCTTTGATCCTCCTGGCGATTCTGTCCGAGGTTCCTTTGTGAATTTAACGTTCAACGCTTTCACCGTTTAAATTTATCGATGTCGAGCCGCGACCGTAGTTAGAGGATTACGCGCTTTCACCGAATTCGTCGATTAAAGGAGCCTCCGAAGGCGTTCCACGAGGAAACGAACGGTATCAGGAACCCTTTACGGTTCTCCCAGCCACGAAGCTTTCGCGGCAGGAAAATCCATGCGGGACACGGACGCGCTACGAATCTATATACACCGCGGGGGCTTATAAATATTTAAATCGCGGCGGAACGAGGCACGTAGGACCGATAAAACGCGGCGGACATGTCGGAGTCAACGACACGACCGAAACACTGGGAGCACGATCGCGTCCGGCCCGACTTTCATTTGGAACACCCTTTCGATGCGTTAACCCTTTAGTTCCCAGTGGCATCGCCTCGAAACCACGTATTTCGATATCAGTAGAATCCGCGACAGACTAGTCGCAGAATCACCAGTGTAAAATCGACAAGGTAATCGCCATCTATTTTTTTGTCAGTTGGAACAGTATTTTTCATGAAAATATTTGTTTCTCTTAAGACTGATAAATTAGTTAATGTATATTGTGAAAGTAAATGTACTATTCCTGGGAGTTCTGAGTTCGGGTTTGAAGGGTTAAACAACGGAACGAACCTACTCGGGCTAGTAACGATCGTCGAACTGGAGATCTAGTGGATTGCGAGACTCGTATCTTCGCTTTCTGGAAATCAGAAATTTATAGGCAGTGGGGCGAGAACTAGATGGAGAATAGTCACGATGAGATACAGGATTATCCAGGACATCTTTCTTGATGAAAAAGAATGAAAGAAATAGCTTGTTTAGTGATGAATCTTTCTTGTATATACAGAGCTCTACAGGACTCCTCTATTTTATAACGCAAATGAAAAAGATACCTTGCTAGAAGACAAATCATTTTCTATGTCTATCTTTTAATTTAGTAAATTTCGTGGATCTTCTGTGTACTCCAACACTCTATTATTCAAATCGATAATGTATTCCATGATTCGTTCATTTTTCAAACTGTCCGAAATCGATACGCAATATCTTCAGTAGTTAACAAGGCAGACGCAGTAACAACAATGACAGTAACAGCGAAAGGATACACGTGATCCAAGTAAGATCACGCGAATAAACAATATCATGAACAATATTCGCGGGGGAACGCGGAAAATGGAAAGAAGTTCCGCGCGAGAGGCAGGAGCGATAAAACGATTTGTTGTTCAAACAATGGCGGAGAAATAAAGGAGGAAGAGCGCGATAGGCGAATCGGTTCCGACGAGTGCGCGCGTTTACTGAACCGAAGGAAGAGGAAGTGTTCGACGAATGGAGGAAGCATGCTAATTTCCATCGTCGGCTCGTGCCGACATCGAGAGTCGTTTATCTGTCTTAGAAGCGGCCGATCGATCCGGTCTGATTGCCGAACGCGGTGAACCCTTCGTTGCGGGATGCAGCCATCCTCGAACGATCCAGCTGTTGCTGTATTCTCTCGAGAGGATCGTCGTGAAACGTGGTAGTTCATCGCGATTGCTACTGCCACTTGTTTAGAGACCGTTCGTCACGGACTAAGTTCGACGTTCTACATTTTATTCAGCGCGCGAGCTGTTTATCACGTGAAACCTTTATCTTCCGATATTGAGCGAAATTTGAAGATTTCAACCCTTAGTTTTAAAATTGAAATTTTCTTAGTATTTCTCCTCGAAATTTGTATCTATTTTCATTTATTCAATTCAAGTGTTATAATGATTACTTCCAATGCGATTAAACTGTTATGATAATTAAGTAAATTGCGATTAATCTGATCGTTACAATTAAGTTAATTGTGATTAATTCGATTGTTATAATAATTAAATTGACTGCGATTTATCTATTGCGTTATTGGACTGCTTTAATATATAATGCTGTATAAATACTGCGGACAGAACAATCTGTACGCGTAATGTACAAATTTACGTTGTTTATACAACGAATATCAATGCGAGGAACGCGTTAAAAAATGAATCGAGATTTAGCGGTGGCGCCCACGGTCATTAAAACTGTGAAGGAACAAAATAAGAGGAACAGTGCGTGTAATTACCAACTATCGTATAAGATAACGAGAATAATGAAGACGCGAGCGCCAGATTCCGAACGGTGTTTTATTAAATCCCGACACAATGGTAACGTGTTCAAATCATTCGCAGCGGTAATAAACTTCTGAGTAATCCACGTCGTAATCAACTACGCCAAGGAAATTTTAGTTTTTTCTTTATAAAGATCCGTAGTTTAATCGTCGGATCGGCTTAGGTGTTGAAGCGTGGAATGAAATCTCTTGTTTCCTTATCATCCCTTGGTTACTAGCTCGAGACAGGGTAAAAGTAGTATGCTGTTAAAATATTAATTAAATGATAACTCCGTTGATTTTCGGTCGTGTTATCGCGGGGAAAAAGAAGTGTCGCTATGTATTTGTTGTCGAAGATAATGCAAGTTTGAATCTTGAGGTTCGTTATCCGAAATTAAATCGAAAATTGAAAGTTGTCGAAGTGCGCGTTATCACTGTGACCAAATACAAATCTCGATAATGGTAATCTTGAGTATAGGTACATATGATAGCATCTGAAGGTTATCCAATTTATCCCTAAAATACTGAACATCGTTTCAATCTTCGAGTAACACCCTGTGGAACATTTTTAGGTAACTAAAGGGGGGAAATACGATTAAAGTTCTCCAGAGACTTTTAATGAATCAATCTCCTTGATTAACTATCGTTTTCTTTGCTTTTGAAGATTAAAATAAATTTCAAATAGAACATTGAATAAATCAAGTTATCTTTAATTTTCACAAATCCTAACCCAGGTGTATCGACTGCTCGTACAAAAAGACTTCTAATAGAAACCGAACAACAGTCACACTGTTTTCCATGAAAAAAGAATTCTCATTCATAAATGCGCGAGTTCCAAGCACGCATCTCAAACAAAACCGAACACTTCGACAACACGTTACAATTCCAACCAATTTACAGCCCAATTCCTCTCCTCAATACCTAAATACAAGCTACTCTATACACCATCGAAATCCAACCATTCAGTCTCCGACAACACGTTAAAACTCCAGTAACCAAGTTCTTCATATCAAAATTAAAAATACCCTAAACTCCATCAAAATCCAAGCAGCATTTAATCTTCGACAACACAAAACCCCAACGACCAAATTCTTCGCCGTATCGAAATAGAAAATCCTCTGAGTATCAAACTCCAACCAACATTCAAACTCCAATATCTCGAATCCAAACAGAACAATCGGAATAAATACTTCGCACTGAAACTCCGTTGGAACGCAGGACACTCGACTCACTGCTAAAAAAAACTGAAAGAGAACTCGCCCGGACAGTGACACTTTCAAAGGACTTCCTCGCGGAAGAGACAGCAAGAAGAAAAATGTCCGAATCACGGTTCACTTTCCGCGGATCGCGAAAGAAAAAAAGAGCGGCGTCGACGCGTGTTCGCCGATCGAAACGCAGGCTTCGACTGAGCCGCCTCGACCTTCATCCGGGGACGGTCCCCGGTGTGATCGATCGGGAATAACTCGCGGAGGGAAGCCCTTTCGCGCGCGAAGCCGCGGAAGACGGCGAAAGAGGGAACGCAAGGCGTGTGTCGCGCGCGCGGAAAACGCGTCACCGTACTGGCGAGACCGCGGCCTCCTCGCGCGCGGTTCTCTTCCTCCTCGCCGCGAGTCGGGGCGAGGCGAGGCGAGGCGAGGCGAGGCAAGGCGAGTTTCGGTGTTGGGTAGAAGTGGCAGTGCCCCCCGTGGCGGCGGCGCAGGTGACAGGGACGTAATCGCGCGATCAAGAGCCACCTAGGACGATACGTGTACTAGCAACCTTTGACGCGTGGGTGGAGGTTTAATCCTTCGGTAAACACTGGGAGTAGAATAGAGGATCTTGGGGAATCGTGGGTCTTTGGAATTGTTTCGAGGAAATGGGAGTGATTTGTATCATTGCAGAGAGGGATGTTTAGTAGTATTTCATATTTTGCATAGTTATTTTTTGATATTTAGTAAGTGTCAAGTTCTGGGAAAGGTGGTTATAATTATTTATAGTGAGATTTAGTTGAAATGGTTGGTGAAGATAGGTTACTTGTTATAATTAGTAACAGTAGAATAGACATTTGGTTATCGTCGATACGCTAATACTGAATACTAATATTGTGAGTACCATTGAATGAGTAATGTTATGTTTCAACATTTATATCTTCCTAAAAGCAAATGATTCTGATGCTTGGTGTCTCCAATATAGAGACATTCGTTCTGAAATTCCTGCAATAAATTGAATATACACCGACATAAACATTTTCACAGAAAGAGAATAAATTCTCGCGGAGATCTCGCGATCACGATGTTGCGTCGAAGACAAGACTAGGGCCGGCTGTTGCGAGAGGGAATCCGGGAAACCGGTGATTCCGGGCTTCGGTAATTCCGTTTGAAAACGAGGCTGCTGTCGCGTGACGACTGGCGCGTGCGATTGTCAGGCCGCGGAACGGGTTGCATGGCGGCCAGCGGCGGTGATCGAAACGCGGTCCTTTGTGGACGTTTCGGGACGTGGGTGCGAATAGAAAGTCGGTGGTACCGGGTCAGGCCAAGGGATCCTGTTCATTTTTATTGTTTTTTTCCTCGCTCGTCGCCTGTTTCTTTTTTAGTTGCAATCTCTTGCTCGAAAGAGGACAATCACGCGACGAGGTAGAAAATTTGTTACGCGGAAATGAATGAACCTGTCCGCGTGTTCCCGTAATCATGGCGAATACAACCATGGCCGGCGACGGGAAAGTAAGTCGAAAATGTAGACTAATCTTACTTTGTGTAAACGTTACCTTCCCGAGGTAATTGGGTTTGAAAGTCCGCCGGGTACGAATGTTATTAAATGAGAATCGACTAACATCCGTAACTGTTATTACAGTAATTATCGTTACAATTATCGTAATCAGCCTCCGGTGTACACTGTAGTACCACGTTCTACAATCTTATTGTCTGTGCGAACTACGAGCGCAGAAAAATACACGCTCTACCAATGGAATATCATAGTTACGTACAAAAATTATTCCAACGTTTAACAAGAGGGTCTCCGAAGTATACTCGAATCTGCAAACCTAAGAAAACGAGGAAAAATACATTCAATGTATAACGATAGAATCTTACAGTTACGCATTTTCAAAGTTACATTCAAAATCATGATGGACTCAGTTTGTAGTGCAATAGATCTTCGATTATCCGATTCAATCAGACGACTAACGGTCCAAATGAATAAGGACTCTCAAAGAAATCCTTCAACGTTTGCAGAATTTCATCTAATCTAGGAATCTTAGTTACTGAGGTCGTAAATAACCAAGCTTCTGAAGGATCTGGACCGCGAAAACTAGCAACTCGATCAATCTACTATATTCGCAAGCCCCAAGGTGATCATCGAAGAAATCCTTCAAAGTTTGCAGAATTCGATGTAACCTATAATCTAAGAATCCTAGTCGTCGAAGTCGTAAATAACCAAGCTTCTGAACGATCTGGATCGCAAAACATAGCGACGCGATTAATCTACCGTATTTATAAACTCCAAGGTAATCGTCAAACGAGACTGCAAGTGTGCCCAGTCGCAGGATTCAAGAGAACCGAGTCTCCTTACTGCCGTTGGCCAGGCAAACGCGAAGCAAATGCTGTCCCGATACGCCACTGAAGACTAATGACCCCTGACAAGAGAGAAACAGGGACGACGTACGATCGAGGAGACTGATCTACGAGGAATCGGACAAGCAGCCGCGGTAACGGTGCTACCAATCTCGCTGGTTGCCAGCTGTTCTCGCTCGAGCACCGTCGCGAAACCTCCTCCTCCTCCTCCCGATCGCCGTTCTTTCGTCGCCCGTCGTTTCACCATACCGTTTTTCCCTTCCCCCGTCGGCTGTCCTGTTACCTAGACATTCACTTCGCCCTGACAAAACGTTTCGACACCGCGAAAACGTAGCAGAGCGACGTCGGCCTTTTTCGACGGAACGCGCGTCGCCGAGCCGTTGCTTTCTAAAAACCGGTGCGCCGCGAATCGTAGCGCCGCTCGGCGATCATCGAGGATCGCGTTCACGCTCGATCGGTATACAGGGTGCCTAACGGCTGAGTAGCTTGTAAACGCATTGGCTCGGATCTTTGCGGTGGTCATGTTTCCGAGATTGGGTAGGTTTTGCGATGGGTCGGTTATTTTCTTTGGCAATTGGGATCTAGGACTAGGAAATTTGTGAAAATATTTGAATTATGTTAGAGAAGTGTCATAGTGGTTGTTGAATGTTAACAAATATGAGATTTTTTAATGTTACAAGTGAATTTATTAAGTGAGGTATTAGTTACTTTATTAGTTAATGGATTCGAATTTGAATTAATGTATCAGTTTTCGTATGTATTTTGAAAGTAACTTGGAAGAAGGTTGCCTCAGTTTCTCGATCCAACAGGATCAAGATGCGCGATTAGGCGGTCCACCCTGTATACCTGGTCGTTCTATTTTCGCCAGACACCCGGTTCTCCGGTACTAGCGGTGACCTATCGTGACCGTTCCTCTCTCGCTATCTCCCTCCCCCTCTAGCGTCGCGACGCAACCGCTGGAGAACCGCAGATATATCCTTGCGTCCTCTTCCTCGAACGTCTATCTCGTAGATAGGAAGACCTTCGCGGACCTGTCGACGGTTTCTGTGCCGTAATTCTCCGGTAGTGAAACTACCCAGACGAATTTCGGAATATCCTGTCGCAACGGCGAATCGTGACGAGCATATTCATGAAATATTACAAACGATTGAATTTCTGAAAATCTGACATTAGAGGTACGGTTATAGTTAGATTTAAAATGAAGGATCTATCCTTTTCCAAAAGAAAAACCGCTAAGTTCCAAAAATAAAACTAAAAATTCATTTGATAATTTATCATTTTCATTATATATATTTCGCTTCGTGCAAAATTCTCTTAAAGAAACCTGAGAAGAAATTTTGGAAAGCATACTCTATTCTAATCTAACCAAGCTTGTGAATAATTTGGATCGCGAAAAATAGCGACGTCGTTAAAATCCAGGTTCTACTAAGTAAAAAAGTCGCTAAACTATTGGCAAGCGACGAACGTTGGTTACATTAAAAAATGTCACGTCCGTCAAGGGTTAAAATTCGAAGGAACCACGGAACGTGCTTGTCGAGGGACTGTTTCTGGTGGAGCAGTCGCGTGAATCGTACCAATCCATTGAACAAACACAGCCAGCGACGGTTTTATTCGTCGCGCTAACGGTACGCCACGCCGAAGCAAGGATTTGTAAGGATTCCCTGGCCTTGCTGGCATCCCGCGACGAAAGCGACGCGCCGCGATAAATGCCACGCAAATACCAAACCGCCTTACAGACGCTCCACGCTCCCAGAGCAAATGTCAAAAGCCGATAGGCGAACGCTCGCCGATCTTCCCGCCAATTAGCCGCCCGATAAGGGATAGATCGAAACGATTAAAGTGGAGGCTAACGTCGGTACAGCGTCGCATAAAAATAGTTCCTCGGGATTCAATGAAACGCGTTCAAGAACATCGGCATCAGCTGACTTAGTTGAAACTTCAGTTTCTTAAATGCCTGTTAATGGCTTTTTAATGTATGTTTGATGGATCAAAGATGTTACTGAATTTCGAATGAAATGGAAAAATCGTGCAGCTTCTACGTACTGTTAGGAATTATTGATTAAATTAGGAGGAAACGTGTGATTTCTGAAAATTTGCGTAGGCGGCTGTGTATATTATTTAATCTTACTCGGCCGGAATGCCAACAATGCGGGCATTGTGCGTTTTTCCCGGCAGCTCGGAATGCTAGTTGCGCTTGCATGAACGTTCTTGCATCCTTTCATTAGATGCAATTATACGAGGGCAATGATCATCTATTTTTAGAGACTTCACCTAGAATACGCAGTTATTCACGATAGGCATTCGCGATGAAAAACTCGAGCTTCGATCAATCGTAAAGAAAGATATCTTATGTTCGGATATTTATAAAACGTGTCTAAAACTCTGCCTTAACGGTAATAGATTGTATTTTAAAGTTTGAAATAACTGTCACAGTATTATTAACCGCTCTCATTTGCCTACTCTTCATCTATGTATGTATCGATGAATATATTTTCACAGTGGCAATAAAAAAATCAATATTAAGTGAATAGTGTAGAAAATAAAAATACTAAAAAAGGTAACTCAGTAGTTGTGGTGTTAAAATATTTTCAAAGCTCGGATGCACGTGTTAATCTACGAACGAGGAAGTTGCGAAAAAATGACCGGTCGGCCGCAAGTAGAGAGGGAACGCCGGTGGTCAGACGACGAGCACTGCTCAACCACGCGTTGAAATCTCCGGAGGCCCTGCCGGCCGGGTTGCGTCAAGATTACCACCGATCGCGCCGCTTCTAGAGCGGCCGGGTAAAAAGTTTATTGTAAATCCGAGCGTTTTCTAGTTGCACAAGCGTTTTCTCGCTTGAACGAACCACCGGACTCCCGTCCGTGCTTTCTTGTAGGACTCTTTTTACGTAACGGAAGAAGAAAGTCCTTTGGCACGAGCCGCAAGAATTCCTCGCGATTTCAGAGACGCCCGGTTTCCATTCTTTCTGTTATATCACTTCGTTTCTTTGTTCATGTGCGAGAGTCACTACTTTATAACGCAAATACTAGTTTTCG